CCTCCATAAAGTAATAATATACTAAAAGAGATGAACAATACATTCAAATTGTGAAAGTTAGGATCTTTCAAAAAATAAATTCTTATTTGAAGAGTGTGTAAACTACTTAGAAAAGTTCACATTTACTCGTCAATTTAGAATCCAATTTAAAGTTTTCTTTAAAAGATATTAATAAAGAATTAGAACATAATAATTTTAATTTATCGAAATACAGAAAAACAGATTTTTTATTAATTCAAACCCTGTAATGCTACTTTTTTTTTTTTAAATCTCATTACAAGATTGAATGCATATAAAATTTTTATAAATATTAAATCCACAATTAAGTTCTTGTACTAGTTTGCACCTCTATATAGCTTTAGATTTTGTGCTAGTTTTAGTACTCTATATTCAAAATTTAGAACAAAAGTTCATATGCGGAAACAAAAATAGATAATTAGGCTTAAATCCTCATTGTGAATGCATCCAACAAAATGAGCAATAAGACATTTGTGGAACAAAACTTTTGAGTAGTATAATATACACGAGAAGCTCTATTAGATGCTTATTTTATGACTGGATTTTTTTTTAAAAAAATTATTTTTATTTATTTATTTATGTACTATTTTTTCTCTCTTTTTTTAATTTATTTTATTCTATTTTATCATTTTTGCCTTAGATCCTATAAGTTTATTCGTATAATCTTACTTGTTTTTTTTTTAATGAGTAGATGATTCAAAATAAATCAAATCATATTCGATTTTCGATTTGAAAACTCTATATGAAACTTTTTTTTTTCCTTTATACCTACCCGATAAGAACAACATTTGAATTAATAGAAAACCTTTTATTCTCTACCCACATGAACTGAGTAGGAATCGAAATTATTATATTAAAATTCCTTATTAATACCTTTTAAAGAAAACCTTGAATTGAATTCTAAATTGATGAGTCAATGTGAACTTTTCTAAGTAGTTTACACAATCTTCAAATAAGAATTTATTTTTTGAAAGATCCTAACTTTCGCATTTTGGCAGATCTTTATTAAAAATAATAGAAATTATTTATATGTTAAATAAATTTAATGTAACAGCCGATGTAAGAGTAATTACTTTAATTTAAAAAATTTATATAAATGAAAGCCCAATGGGCTGGACCCTGCTCAAATCCACGTACTTATTCCCGTTCGGGTCAGGCCCAATATAAAGTATTATTTTAATTGCTTTTAATTTGTAGGCCAATATAAAAGAAAAAAAAAAGTATATTCTTAATTTCTTTTTGACCAAAAAAAAAAATGGTAAAAATATATAGAATCTCTGACCATATAAATATTTCACCCCAAAATTAAGTGCTTTTCTTTCTTTTCTTTTTTTTTTTTTTCTTTTGGGTCTTTTGAATGAATAATAATTACAGAAATTATTTTATTTAACTAAAATAATACATTGTTGTTATATTGAAATGATTGAAAAAATTACCATGTAAAATTTTGTTAATTTTTACCAAATTAAATTATTTACTAATAGATATTCCATTAGCAAAATATTGGTGTTTTTGTATTTACCATAAGTATTGTATTAAATACGAAATTTTAGATAAAAATACGAAATTAAAGGAGTAATATCAATTAAATTCATATTTCTAACCTAAAAAATAAGAAGGAAAAAGTTTTGGGTTACCAGTAAAGTCGTTGTTTATTAAATAAACCAAAAAAAAAAAAAAAAAAAAGAATCCTAAACGTATTCGTCAAATTTTTTCCCGTCTCTCTCTCCTTAAGGCATGAAAATTATGCGATGATTTCTCTCTCCCACTCTCTGCTTTCAACGGATTCTAGGGTTTTACCAATTCCAACCATAATTTAGGTAACTAATCATCTCTCTCATTTCTTTTCTATCTTACTTTCACACTCTTCATTTTTCAATCCTTTTTAGGTTTCGTTCGTCTTTCTTTTTCTGTTTTCTTATTTCTAACTATGTCTCTGTATACTGATTGTTTTCTGGATGGGGAAACTTGGCATTTCCAGTATCAGTTATAGATTGTTAGAATTTTTTCCTTTAGCTTCCGATTGAGGAAGAGGGGGGGATATTTTTTGTTTGTTTGCTGTTGTTTGATTATGACTGATATGAGCCATGTACATGGTTTCTGCTGTGCATTTGGGGAAGTTTTATGAGTTTTGGTCTAATTTTCTGCTTTGAAGAGAACAACTGCAGCACGGTTAGTGAAATTTTTCTCACCTTAACGGAAGATCAGCTTTTTACGTGGAATTCTTGGGTTTTTAATTGGTATTTCTCATGTAAAGTGTGTTGGTGACAACCGAATGTAATGGGAATTGTTGTGCACAAATTTTAACGTAACTTATTTCTTATGTCTGGTTCTCTGTTTATTCTTTCGGATCTTGTGCCACTTGGTTCCTGATATTAATTTTTCTACTAAGCGAGGGAATAATCTGATTCTGGAGTTAAAATCCTCCCTTGAAATTCTTGCACTGTATTGAAAACTGAGTTCTCTATACTGTTCTCACCAGTGAAGTCAAGTAGCTAATCTGACTAAAGAATTCTGTTTCTGTTTTTTAATCATATTATTAAGAAAATACATATGTTGGATCTGATTCCAAAATCTCATGTGAACTTCAGTTGCAACTAAAGATTCTCACTCCATTTTATATTTGTTTTCATGTAATTTGTAAATGATTTTTCCACGGCCATTTTGTTGACAAGCAGCGTTGTTGCTATTCTGGCAAATTCATTAGTGTGGATATTGACAGATATTGGCGAATCATGGTCAAATGCATGTGCTTATTTTAATACATATTTACAAGGTTCTCTACTAGGAGACTTTGATTGTGGCGGTATCATTTCGTTAAAGGAGGTACTTTGGCCTTCTGAGTTAACTGTGAGGACTGCTTAACCAGGAGAGCTTCTAGTTTGGTGATTTGCATGTTTTGCATCTAATGTTTACGATGCATGACTTATTTGCTGCTATTTCATACTTCACTATATTTTCAGTTCTCTTACACACCCATAGTATGCATTGATACTCTGGATCAGGTTTCTGTTAAATAAGTAGTTTTTGTATACTAATCCCATCTTATTTGGTTTCATAGCATACTCAGCTGAATGTACCGGGATTTTTGGCTGTCCAGGGTGTTAAATAGCTGCAAGAAGAGACTGTCATCCTGCATAGAGTTGCTGTTCAGAAATTTGAAATGAGCAGTGAAGAAGTTCTGAAGGTGGTTTTTCCTTTGCTGGATGGTCAAGATCTTTCTTCTTGTATGATGGTGTGTAAGCAGTGGAGGGATATAGCAAGAGATGATTACTTCTGGAAATGTTTGTGTGCCAAGAGATGGCCTTCCATTTGCAAGCAACCTAAACCCCCAACTGTGACGTACCACAAGTTGTATCGGACCTTCTACAAGCGTCAACA